GGCATATTTTTATCAGAAACAAATGCAGGTAAGAAGACAGTGGAATATTTTTAAAGTCCTAAAAAGACAAATCACCTGTAATTTTATATCAAGCCAGAATATCTGTCAAAAAATTGAGAAATAATTTTAGACAAAAAAAGTAAGTTGTTTTTTTTTTTAACGGAGTTTTGCTCTTGTCACCCAAGCTGGAGTGCAGTGGCACAATCTCGGCCCACTGCAACCTCCACCTTCCAGGTTCAAGTGGTTCTCCCACCTCAGCCTCATAGTAGCTGGGATTACAGGCATGTAACCTCCACCACACCCAGCTAATTTTTGTATTTTTAGTGGAGACAGGGTTTCACCATGTTGGCCAGGCTGGTCTTGAATGCTGACCTATGCTACATAAAATGTTAAAGGAAGTCTTTCAGTCAGAAATGAAATGATACCAGACGTAAATATGAATCCTCATAAAGGAAAGAAGAACAATAAAAATGTTAACTATGTGGATAAATATACATTTTTAAAATTATTATTTAAGTCTCTTTGAAAATAGTTATTTAAAACAGAAAAACATGTAATATGGGTTTACATGAAATGCCGTAATAGCGCATGTTGGTAGACTGTGTTAAGTTAAAAATGTATACTATAAATCTTAAAACAATCACTAAAATAAGAGAGTCACAACAAATAAATTAACATAGTTAAAATGAAATTATTAAAAAATAGATATTTAATCCCAAATTAGGCAGAAAAAGAGGAAAAAGTGAACAAAGAGAGAGGACAAATGGGAAACAAAAAGAGGGTAGATTTAACCCTAACCATATTAGTAATCACATTAAATGTACATAGCTGAACATCAGTTAAAAGGGAGATAATCTTTATTTTGAAAAAAAAAAAGAAGACCTAACTGTATATGCTGCATTTCATAAATGTATTTCAAATATAGATAGTAGTATATTAAGCAGAAAAGAATGGGAAAAGATGTATCTTATTAACAACAATCAAAAGAAAGCTGGAGTATAATACCAGATCAAGTAGTTTTGAGAGCAAAGAATATTAGCAGGAATAAAGAAGATCATTACATAATGATAAAATGACCAATTCATCAGGAATACATAACAATTCTAAATATATATTAACTGCATATAGAGCAAAAATGTGTACATTGCAAGGAGAAATGAAGACATTTATAGCTATAGCCAGATAATAAATAGAAGACTCAACAATAAATAGAAAAAGTAGACCAAAGAAATCAGTGGTCAGATGCAGATCAAAAAATTCTGGTTTGAACAATACTGCCAATTGTCCTAACTGACATTTGTAGAAATGGCCCACATAACAATATACACTTTATTCATGCATGCATGTAATGGTTACCAAGTTGGAGCATATTCCAGGTTGCAAAACAAGTCTCAGTACATTTTTAATATATTTTTTATTTGCATAAGTTTGTGGGGTATGATTGCAATTTTGTTACATGCATAGGTGATATAAGTGGTCAAGTCAGGGATTTTAGGGTGTCTATCACCCAAATAACATACATTATACCCATTAAGTAATTTCTCATTATCTATCACCCTCTCACCTCCTTACCCTTCTGAGTCTCCATGGTCTATCATTCCACTCTCTACAATTATGGGTACACAAGTTTTAGCTCCCACTTATGAGTGAGAACTTGTGCTATTTGTCTGTCTGTATCTGACTTGTTTCACTTAAGATAATGACTTCCCATTTCATCCATGTTGCCATAAAAGACATTATTTCATTCTTACTACTAAATACTATTCAATGTGTGTGTATATATATGTGTGTGTGTGTGTGTGTATATATATATCTCACATTTTTTAATTCAATCATCTGTTGATGGATATTTAGGATGATTCCATCTTTGCTATTGTGAATATTACTGCTATAAATAAATGCAGATATCTTTTTGATATATTGTTTTATTTTTCTTTCGTTAGTTACCCAATAGTGAGACTACTAGATTGAATGGTACTTATATTTTTTAGTTTTTGAGAAAACTTCATACTGTTTTTCATAGAAGTTGTACTAATTTACATTCCTACCAACAGTGTAGAAGCATTTCCTTTTCTCCATATCTTTGCTAACATCTGTTATTTTTTAACTTTTTAAAAATAGCCATTCTGACTAGAGTAAGATCATACTTTATTGTAGTTTGAATTTGCATTTGTTTGATGATTAATGATGTTGAGCATTTATCATACACCTGTTGGCTGTTTTTGTTTTCTTTTGAAAAATGTCTATTCATGTCATTTGCCCCCTTTCAGTGAAATTATTTATGGGGGTTTTTGTTTAGCTGTTTGGGTTCCTTATATATTCTGGTTATTAGTCTCTGTTGGATGGATAGCTTGAAAATATTTTCTCCCAAACTGCAGGTTGTTTGTTCACTCTGTAGGTTATATCTTTTGCTGTGCAAAAGCTTTTTAGTTTAATTAAGTCCCATTTGTGTATTTTTGTTTGGTTGCTGGTGCTTTTGAGGTATCAATCATGAATTCTTTGCCTAGACCAATGTCTGGAAGAATTTTTCCTATGTTTTCTTCTGGTATTTCTAGAGTTTAGAGACTTCTATTTGAGTCTTTAACCCATGTTGAGTGCTTTTTGTATAGGGTGACAGACAGGGGTCCATTTTCATTCTCTTATACATAACAATCCAATTTTCCCAGCATCATATATTGAAAAGGGTGTCCTTTCCCCAAATGTATGTCCCAGTTAACTTTGTCAAAGATCAGTTGGCTGTAAATATGTGGCTTTTCTTCTGGGTTTTCTGTTCTATTTCATTGATATATGGGTCTATTTTTATACCAGTACAATGCAGTTTTGGTTACTGTAGCCTTAAAGTGTAATTTGAAATTGAATAATGTGATACCTCCAATTTTGTTCCTTTTGCTTAGAATTACATTTGCTATTTGGGCTTCTAGTTTTGCTTGTATGTGCATTTTAGGATTTAAACAATTCTATAAAAAATGATGCTGATATTTTGATAGGGATTTTATTGAATATGTAGATTGCTTTGGGCAGTAAAATCATTTTAACAAGATTAATTCTTCTGATCCATGAGCATGGAAAGTTTTTCCATTTGTTTGTGTCATCAACAATTACTTTCTTGTAGTTTTCTTCTCTTATAGAAATCTTTCACCTTCTTAGTTTAATATATTCCTAGGCATTTTACTTTTTGGACCTATTGTAAACAGGCTTGCCTTTTTATTTTATTTATTTATTTATTTTGAGATGGAGTTTTACTCTTTTTGCCCAGGCTGCAGTGTAGTAGTACAATCTCAGCTCTCTGCAACCTCCACTTTCCTGGTTCAATCAATTCTCCTATCTCAGCCTCCCAAGTAGCTGGGACTACAGTTGCATGCTGCCACGCCTGGCTAATTTTTTGTATTTTAAGTAGAGATGGTGTTTCACCGTGTTGCCTAGGCTGGTCGGAAACTCCTGAGTTCAGGCAATCCGCCTGCCCCAACCTCCCAAAGTGCTAGCATCACAGGCACAAGCCATGGCGCCCGGCCTGGCTTGCCTTTTTAATTTTGTTCTCAGCTAGATTTTTATTGGTGTATAAAAACGTTACTAATTTTGTATGTTAATTTTCTACACTGAAACTTTACTGGATTCATTTATCAAATCTAAGAGATTTTTGATGGAGTCTTTAGGTTTTTCTAGATCTAAGATTGTATCATCAATGATCAGGGATAATTTGACTTTCTCTTTTCCAATTTGGAAGCCTTTTATTTCTTTTTCTTTCCTGGTTGCTCTGGCTAGGACTTCCAGTACTATTTTGAATAGGACTGCTAAAAGTGGGCAATTTTATGTTGTTCCAATAATTTTAACAAATTATTCTGGATAATTAGATGTCTATATGCAAATAAACTTAATTCACATCTTGTACCACATAAAATAGTTCAAAATGGATTATAGATGAAAATATAAAATATAAAACTCCAAAAATATAAGAGAATATATTTTTGATTTTGCATTTGGCAAGTATCTTTTAGATGTGACACCAAACACATAATCCAAAAAAAAAAAAAAAAGAATTAATAAATTGAAACTTGTCAAAAATTTAAAAACTACTGTTTGAGAGAACTTGTTTATGGTATGAAAAAGCAAGCCATATAATGTGCAAAACTATTGGAAAATCATATATCTAACAAAAAAATTACTTCCAGAATATTAAAAAGTAAGCAATCCAACAAAATGGGCAAATGATTGGAACAGATATTTAATAAAAAGTACAGATTGAAAATAAATATATGGAAAGATTATCAACATCATTTCTCACTAGCAAAATGCTTATTAAAACCCCAAATATGAAACTACTACACTCCTGTTAAAATGTCTAACATTTTTTTAAAAAGAGACCATACCAAGTGGTGGTGAGGAGAACAAACGAAACTCTTATACACTGCTGATGGAAATATGAAATGTCACAACAGTTCTAAAAAACCGACAGTTTCTTAAAAAGTTAAGTGAACGCCTACCGCGCTCACTTTATTGATGCAAATATTCTATTTCTTAATATTTATCCAAGAGACATGGAAGCATATGCCATACAAAGATCAAATAAAGACCAGCTGTATGAAAGAAGCCAAAGAAACTTGACATATTTTATGATTCTATTTCATAAACGCTTAGGAAATTCAAACAAATGAATAGTAACAGAAAGTGGATCAGTGTATGCCAAGGAGTGGGGAAATTATAAAGGGGCACAAGGAACTTTTGGGGTTTTTTTATTATTATATTTGTTATAAATAAACTTTTGATTATTATGTTTGTTGGCATGATTTTGGTGATGATTTCACAAGTGTATACATATATCAAAAATTTTCAAATTTTAATCTTAGTATGTGCAGTCTATTGTACCTCAGACCTCAGTAAAGCTGTTAAAAAAAGAAATTATTTCAATAAGCATATTTTATGGATCTCACTGATATCTTGACATTTGCTTCAATAATTATAAAATAATGGTAATATGATTACATTCCATCTTGTTTCTATAGAGAAGGGCAGTTGGGAAACCTCACGGCTCCTTGCAATGAAAAATGTAGATGCTCATCTTCAGTTTATTCTTCTATATGTGGAAGAGATGATATCGAATACTTTTCTCCCTGCTTTGCAGGGTGTATGTATTCTAAAGCACTAACCCGAAAAAAGGTAATTAGTTTTTATAATTATTATGTTTTGTTATACATTTATATTTTCATTATATTATAACTATTATTTTTTATGCTTCTTCCTCTTTAGTGAAATGTTCAGCTTGTAAATGCTATTAACATTTTTCTTCCAACTCTCTATAAAACCTATTTTTTCTTATTTTCCCCTTTTACATGTTAAAGACAAGAAAATAAAATTTGTGGGTTTTTTTGGTGTGTGTTTATTTTTTGAGACAAGGTCTGACTCTGTCACCCTGGCTGGAGTGCAGTGGTAAGATCCCAGCTCACTGCAACCTCCACCTCTTGGGCTCAAGCTATCCTCCCACCTCAGCCTACAGGATAGTTGAAACTGCAGGTGCACACCACCACACCCAGCTAATTTTTGTAATTTTTTTAGAGACGGAGTTTTGCCACACTGCCCAAGCTGGTCTAGAATGCCTAAGTTCAAGTGATTCACCTGCCTTGGCCTCACCTCCAAAACTGCTGGGATTACAGCTGTGAGTCACCGTGCCTGGCCAAAAATTTGTTTTATATTGCCGCAATACAAAGAGCTTATGGAAATTGGGAATGAAAGAGACATTCCTAAATTAAAATGTCAATGAAAAGAGTCAAACTCTGTATTTGAAGTGATTTATTCTGAGCCAAATATGAGTGACCATGGCCTGTGACACCTTGGGAGATCCTGAGAAAGTGTGCCCAAGGTGGTCACAGTGAAGCTTGGTATTATACATTTTAGGGAGGCATGAAACATCAATCAAATACCTTTGAGAAATACGTTGGTTTGATCCAGAAAGGCAGAACAATTTGAAGACAGGGGAGGGGAGAGTGGTAGTTGGGGTAGGGTTTTGGGGTGGGGCTTCCAGGCTATAAGTAAATTTAAACATTTTCTTGTTGGTAATTGGTTGAGTTTGTCTAAAGACTTGGGATCAATAGAAAGGAAATGTCCAGGTTAAGAAAAAAGATTGTGGAGACCAAGGTTCTTTTGAAGTCTCATAGTGGCTGCCCTTAGAGACAACAGATGACAAATGTTTCCTATTCAGACCTTTTAAAAGGCGATAGACTCTCAGTTAACCTCTTCAGGATTAGAAAGGCCCCGAAGAAATGTTACGTTATTTGTTATGTTAATAGAGATTCTTTACAGATGCAAATTTACCCCCCACAAAGGACTGCTTTGCAGGACCATTTCAAAATATGGCAAAGAAATATGTTTTGAGGTAAAATATTTTGATTTTCTTCTTTGTCACCTAATGTTATGCCAGAGTCAGATTGGAAAGTTAGTCACGATATATGGGTTAAATAAAACCCATCTGATGAGAATTTATGGTTTGAAAGGCATGTCTCCCCAGATCCATTAGATAGGAGTTTGGGCAAGATTAAAAAAAAAATCAGAGCGGCCGGGCGGGGTGGCTCACGCCTGTAATCCCAGCACTTTGGGAGGCCGAGGCGGGCGGATCACAAGGTCAGGAGATCGAGACCATCCTGGCTAACACTGTGAAACCCCGTCTCTACTAAAAATGCAAAAAATTAGCCGGGCGAGGCGGCGGGCGCCTGTAGTCCCAGCTACTCGGGAGGCTGAGGCAGGAGAATGGCGTGAACCCGGGAGGCGGAGCTTGCAGTGAGCCGAGATCGCGCCACTGCACTCCAGCCTGGGCGACTAAGCGAGACTCTGTCTCAAAAAAAAAAAAAAAAAAAAAAAAAATCAGAGCTTAGTCCTCAATAACACATCTATGGGGCCAGGTGTAGTGGCTCATTCCTATAATCCCAGCACTTTGGGAGGCCTAAGAGGGTGCATCACTTGAGCCCAGGAGTTTGAGACCAGCCTGGGCAACATGGCGAAACCCTGTCTCTACAAAACATACAAAAATTAACTGTGCATAGTGGTGCATGACTGTAGTCCCAGGTACTCGGGAAGCTGAGGTGGGAGGATTGCCTGAGCCTGGGAGGTCAAGGCTGCAGTGAGTCATGATTGTCCCACTGCACTCCAGCCTGGGTGACAGAGTGAGAACACATCTCATAAAAACAAACAACAGCAACATACACACACACACACACACACACACACACACACACACACACACACACACACACACATATATTACATCATCCCAACTTTATTGTTTTAAAGCAATGAGGAACTCTTATCTACCTCTTGCCATAGCAAAGTTGAATGAAACAGCCTGAGAGAACCTTCCCCTATGTAGTTTGTCTTAGCTCTATGCTACTTTACAGCAGCACCCAATCTCCTGAAACCTTGAGCCACAATCTTTTACACACCTAGAGATAGATGAATACTATCCTTTTGGTCACCTTTCACTGAGTTTTTTCTCCTACTGAAGAATTCAAATTGTTTACTCTCTATCTTTTTGCTGTTTCTCTCTTTCTGCTCCACATTAATTTAGATGTGGAAATTAGTCCTATGGTTTATCAGAAGTCACCCTAACTTGTATGCTTTTGTTAGTACATCCAGGAAAGTGAGAGAGTTAGTTAGAGTTTTACAGGGCAATAACATATGTGACTTGAATATATGTTATTTCTGTTTGCCTTTGGCATTTATGTAAATTGAGACTATTTTAAAATTCCCTTGTGTGCTCATCTGTGGGGCCATTACCATCCGAATCCCTTATTTCTCTGGGCTTTCTGCCACCCTGCTAACACATTTTCTTCTTCTGTCATGGAGAACAGTTGACCACTCTACCACTTGTTGAGGTTAATTTTTTAATATCCCAAGTTGCATAAATAAGCTTTTAACTAAATGATGGACTATCTACTCCAACTTTCACCTTTTAAATAGCACAGAAGCATGGATCCATTCTTTGAAAATTCTGTTTATCTTTCCTTGCTCTGACTAGTCTTCGAGAATGGGAGAGAGCAACAAAGAGGTGTGGTGCCTTTTCTGGTCTGCCCATGGCCACCCATGGACAAACCAGCATGCACTACCTCCCCTCTGAGGTCCATAAAAGCCCAGGGATCAGCCAGAGCAGGCAGAGGATGGAGCAATGAAGGATGAACAGCTACAGAGAGGAGCTACCCTCTCTGCTTAGAGCTGCAGACATGGGGATGACCAGTTGCAGAGAGGAGCAACCCTCTCGAGGGACTCCTCTCTGCTGAGAGCTGAATACTAGACAGGATAACCTGTCTACAGAGAGGAGCTACCCACTGCAATTCTCCTCTGAGCTGTTGTAATACTCAATAAAGCTCCTCTCCTTCTTGTTAACCTTCCACTTGTCTGCCTACCTCATTCTTCCTGGGCACAGGATAAGAACTTGGGCAAAGGCACATTAACTACAGAGATTTCTGGCCTCCAAAGTGACATCCCAAAGATCCCATAACACCACTTCCTCTCCTTCATTTTATTTTGCTATAAGTAAATTATTTTTAAATGCTCACTATGTCATCACAGTATACAGTAAAACTGTTTGACCTTGATGTTTTGATTCCATGGAATATTCAAGAGCTAAACATTCCATCAAGGATATAGCTCCAACCCCTGCTTCCTTTTTTCTAGGGAATCTCTTTTAGAGACTTTATTTATTTAATGAAACTCTTCATAGTTTTTTTTTAATATATATTTCTCTAAGGAGTAATTAATTTATGAGGAATAATAGTGATAGAAATAATCCACAAAATAGTCACTCAAACTGTGTGATAACATTTGATACTTAATGAAAACTGAAAGAAGAATAAAATCAATATGTCAGAAATTGCCTAGTAAGACAATTAGCCTTGCTAGAAAAAAATGGCTTTGATACAAAACCTACAAAGTAGAAGCTGTTAGTAAAATGTGATATGGATGGAACTGATTAATGGATAGAATAAGCATCAATTTCAAATGGGAAAAGATCGATACCAATAAAAATAATCTCAACAAAATAAAAATTAAAATAAGATACACTATACAAAAAATGATCAAGTACCTATATGCTGTTAATGGAATCCCCTTTGAAAAATATTTTCTCAATGAAAATATGACAAGTGTGAAAAAATTCTGATTAAATGTTCCTATTCAAAATACGATCAGGGCCAATATAAGTCAAAATTAGATGCTCTTCAATGAAGTTTATGCAAAAGTTTGTGAGAGGAGTAGTAGGAAATACTATACCTCTAACGATTTTTAGGTTTCTCTAGAAAAAGTGCAGCTGTACTAAAACTGAAAATACATACCTGCTGTTGATATTGATAATATTCCTGGGGAGCTTTTCCTCATTGAGAACCACATGTATTCTTCTTATCCATGCTTCCAAAGATCTTCAAATTTCTTTATATAGATATTAAAGAAATCATGGGCTTTTTTTTTTTGTGATCTCCGCAGACTGATTCCTTTCAGTAGCTGATATAGTTTTCATTATAAAATAGCAATATGAATATTCTTCCAGAGGTTCAACAGAAACTTCATTCTATTTATCTCTGAAGAGGAAAGTAAATCATATCCAAAGGATTAAGGATTATAGGAAGCAAGGCTTCAGGTTCTCATTCAGCTTAAATATCATTGGAATATTTTAATTTTATTTACTGACCCACTATCTTTGTGCTATTTTTAATATGTATTTTTATATGTTTTAAATGAAATATGCTATTATAATTTGGCTTTCGTACAGTCAATATTGACTTATATTTACCCTTTTCCTTGCATTTCCATTGTTTCATCTGGAATTATTTTTCTTCTGCCTGAAGAACTTTATTTCACCTTCATTTTGAACACTGTTTTCACTGGGTATGGAATTTTAGATTGGCAGTGATTCCCCCCACTCTTCATTCCCCCCACCACCAACATTTAAAAGACACCGTATGTTGCCTTCTGTTTCTGGATGCTTTGGGATTTTCTCTTTGTTTAGATGTTTTCCTTTGATGTATATAGATGTGGCTTTGATTATGTTTATTTTGCTTGGGTTTCACAGAGTATCTTGAGTCTGTGGATTCTTGTCTATCAGTTGAAAACTTCTTAGCTATTAACCTCTCTCTCTCTTTCCTGTATTTTTGGGAACTATGTATTAGTTTATTATT